ACATGGCTGATTGAGTATTTTAAGCCCACTGATGAAACCTACTGCTCAGAAAAAAAAATTCCTTTAGAAATACTATTGCATTGACAGTGCATATGGTCACCCAAGAGCTCTGATGGAGATGTACAATGAGACAACCGCTGTTTTCGTGCCTAATACAACATCCATTCCGCAGCCCATGGATCAAGGAATAATTTTGACTTTCAAATCTTTTAATTTAAAAATATATTTTTGGGAGCATCTGGGTGGCTCAGTTGGTTAAGTGTCCGACTCTTGATTTCAGCTCAGGTCATGATTTCAGGGTGGTAAGATCGAGCCCCGAGTCAGGCACCCCGCCACAGGGAGTCTATTTGGATTCCCTCTCTCCCTCTGCCCCTGTGTCCCCTCGCCCTACACTCTCTCCCTCTCTAAAATAAATAAATCTTTAAAAATAAATAAATAGGGGTGACTGGGTGGCTCAGTTGGTTAAGTGACTGCCTTTGGCTAAGGTCGGGGTCCCAGGGTCCTCGGACTGAGCCCCACATCAGGCTCTCTGCTCAGCGGGGAGCCTGCTTCTCCCTCTGCCTCTCCCCCTGCTTGTGCTCTCTGTCTGATAAATAAATAAAATCTTTAAAAAACATGTAAATAAATAAATAAATAAGGTAAAAATACATTTTTGTAAGGCTATATCTACCATAGATAGTGATTCTTCCAATGGAATTCAGCAAACTGAAAACCTTTGGGAAAGGATTTGCCATTCTAGATGGCATTAAGAACATTCATGATTCATGGGAAGAGGTCAAAATAGCAATAGTATCAGGAGTTTGGAGGAAGTTGATTCGAACCCTCATGGATGACTTTGAGGGGTTGAGGATTTCAGTGGAGGAAGTCATTGCAGATGTGCTGGAAACAGCAAGAGAACCAGCATTAGAATGGAACGTAAAGATGTAACTGCAATGCTGCAAACTCATGATCAAACTTGAATGGATGAGGAGTTGTTTCTTATAGATGAGCAAGGAAAGTGGCTTCTTGAGAAGGAATCTACTCCTGGTGAAGATGCTATGGAGATTGTTGAAATGACAACAAAGGATTTAGAAATTACATAAATTTGGTTGCTAGAGCAGAGGCAGATTTTGAAAAGACTAATTCCAATTGTGAAAGAAGTTCTACTGTGGGTAAAATGTTATCAAACAGCATTGCATGCCACAGAGAAACCATTCATGAAAGGAAGAGTCAATCAATGCAGCAAAGTTGCATTCTAATTTCTGTCTTAAGAAATCGCCAAAGGGACGCCTGGGTGGCTCAGTCAGTTAAGCATCTGCCTTCGGCTCAGGTCATGATACCAGGGTCCTGTGATCGAGTCCCGCACCATATCGGGCTCCTTGCTCGGTGGGGAGCCTGCTTCTCCCTCTGCCTGCTGCTCCCCCTGCTTGTGTGTTCTCTCTCTCTCTGACAAATAAATAAATAAATAAATAATCTTAAAAAAAGGGGGGGGGAGAAATTGCCACAGCCACCCCAAGCTTCAGCAACCACCACCCTGATCAGCCAGCAGCCATCAACACTAATGTGAGCAACAAAAGATTACAACTCGCAGAAAGCTCAGATTGTAGTTAGCATGTTTTAGCAATAAAGTATTTAAAATATAATTGCACATTTAATAGACTACAGTATTGTGTAAACATAACTTTTATACACACTGGGAAACCAAAACTTCATCTGACTTGCCTTATTACAGTGGTCTGGAACTGAACCTACAATATTTGCAAGGTATGCCTGTATGTATTGTCAGCATCATTTATTAAAAAGACTGTTCTTTCCCCATTGAACTGTGTTGGACCCTCGTCAAACACCAAATGACCTTAAATGCAAAGGCTTATTCTCAAACTCTCAACCCTGTCCCATCAATATACATGCCCATCTTATGTCAGTAATATACTGTCTTGATACTGTAGCTTTATCGTAAATTCTGAAATTAGGAAGTGTGAGTCCTCCAATTTTTTTTTTTCTTTTTAAAACTGTTTTGGCTATTCTGGGTCACATGAATTTCCACATGAACTATAGAATTACGTTGCCAATTTCTGTAAAAAAGGCACTAGGGTTTTGATATGGATTGCATTAAATTTGATTAGTTTGGGGGAAACTACCATGTTATATGCTGAATTATGTCCTCCAAAAAGATATGTTGAAATCCTAATCCCCAATACCTCTGAATGTGACCATATTTAGAAACAGGGTCTTTGCAGATGTAATCAAGTTAAAAGGAAGTCATGCTGGATTAGGATGGACCCTAAATCCAATGAGTGGTGTCCTTATAAGAAGGTCATATGAAATCAGCTTTGGTCATTTTCTATGTAAAAGATTTTAGAATTCCCATGAGCTCAATTAACTTCTTTCTATGTTTTCTCAGGGTTCTTTCCTCATGGATGGTTAAGCTACAAATATTGACTTGACCAAAACAAAATAGTGGAGTTAGGGGATTGTTTATGTGGCTCTCAGTCTCAAATGATTTTCTACAACCGGCTGAGAATAACCAATCAGAGACTGATTTGAATGCATTTGAAAATAAAATCTGTACCCAGAAAAAAAAAAAGGAGGTCATGTGAAGACACCGGGACACACAGAGTCACAGAGGAGAAGGTCATGTGAAGACAGAGGCAGAGAAATGACTGATGCATCTGTAAGCCAAGGAACACCAAGGATCGCCAACAACCAGCAGAAGTTAGGAGAAGCATAGAAGAGATTCTCCCTCAGAGCCTCCACAAGGAACCAATCTCACCAACACCTTGACTTTGGACTTATAGCCTTCCAAAACTGTGAAAGAATAAAGTGCTGTTGTTTAAGCCACCCAGTCTGTGGCAATTTGTTATGGCAACCCTAGGATACTAAAAACACCATCTGAACAATATTAGATCTTCTGATCCATAAACATGAGATGTCTTTCCATTTATTTAGGTCTTCCTCAATTTCCTTCAACAATGTTTTGTAGTTTGCAGTGTACAAGTCTTGCACTTTTTTTTTTTTTTTTAAGTAATCTCTACAGGGGCACCTGGGTGGCTCAGTTGGTGAAGCATCTGCCTTAAGGCTCGATCATGATCCCAGAGTCCCGGGATTGAGCTCCATATCAGGCTCCCTGCTCAGCAGGGAGTCTGCTTCTCCCTCTGCCCCTCACCTGGCTCATGCTCTCTCTCTCTCAAATAAATAAAATCTTAAAAAAAAAAAAAAAAGTCTCTATATCCAATATGGGGCTTGAACTCACCACCAAAAGATCAAGAGTCACATGCTCTACTAACTAAGCCACCCAGGCTCCCCAAGTCTTGAACTTCTTGGGCTAAACTGATTCTTAAGTATATTTTTTTGTGATGCTACTATAAATGAAACTGTTTTCTTAATTTCATTTTCAAATTGCTCATTGCTAGTCTACAAAAATACAGTTGACTTTTCTACATTGATCTTGTATCCTGCAACTTTGCTGAACTCACTTATTAGTTCTAATAGTTTTTTGTGAATTCCTTAGGTTTTTCTATATACAAGATCATGTCACCTGTGAACGAAGATGGTTTAACTCCTTTTCTCTTACTTCCTCCTTTTATTTCTTTTTCTTGCCTAATTGTCCTGGCTAGATCCTCTAGAACAATGTTGAATAAAAGTGGGGGCAGACATTTTTATTTTGCTCCTGTTCTTAAGGGAAAAGCATTTAGTCTCTCACCAACTGGGTATGATGTTAGCTGTGGGTTTTCATAGACGCCCTTTACCGGGCTGAAGAAGTTCCTTTCTGTTACTACTTTATTTAGTGTTTTTATCATGAAAGGGAGTTGGATTTGGCAAATGTTTTTCCCCATCTTTTGGTATGATCACATGTATCCTTAAGATCTGAACACAATTAGAGCTAATTCTACACTCTGGTAAACAACTTAATGTTAATTGTTCTCATTATCTATATATAATTCCTCCCCTAAAGAACCTCAACGACTTAGTTTCTTTATGTATATGTCAGTAATAAAGCTTTGACAATTATTCAATCGTCTTTTTTTTTTAAATACTGCTTTTTCTTTAAAATACAACCGTATCAGTAAATTGAATATATTTTAGCCCTTAAGAGCAAATAAATAAAAGGCTCCAAGAAACTTGCAACCTAGAGGTAAAATAAATCACCATTTTCATATACAACAGGAGACCTAAACAGAAGAATAGCATATGCATACACCAGGGAGAGTGGAATATGAGAGAAGGTTCCTAAAACACATAAACTCAGTATTTATAGGATGCAGAGGAGTTAATCCAGACAAAGAAGGAGAAAAAGATATTGCACATAGAGGAAATTATATGTGCAAAGGTACAGAGTGAGGAAATGTATGCAATTCTATGTTACTAATAAGGACTGGTATATGTTGGGGTGCCTGGGTGGCTCAGTCGGTTAAGCGTCTGCCTTCGGCTCAGGTCATGATCCCAGGGTTCTGGGATTGAGCCCCACATCGGGCTCCCTGCTCGGCTGGGAGCCTGCTTCTCCCTCTCCCTCTGCCCCCACCCTCCCCCACTTGTGATCTCTCCCTCTCTCTAATAAATAAAATCTTTAAAAGAAAAAGAAAAAAAAAAGGACTGGTATATGCACACGTCTGTGGCAAGAAAAAGCTATGTTACCAAGAGATGACTCTCTAGAGACACCGGCCAGCGTTCCAATTTTATTCTTCTCATTCAGGGTAAACTGATACAGTCCATTGTGAACAAAGAACTTTTTAGCTATATTTAATCTAATACTGATACAATGTATTCTGCTCCAGCAGGAAAAAAAAAAGTACACAGAATATTGTGTCATAAATATATTCATATAAATTCACATACATACCACACACACACTCCTTTTCATTTGTTCCATTCCACTTTACCAACATATTCTGGATTTTTATCTACTAATAGCCAGCTTTAAGGAGTATTTGATTACAGCACATTATTTGCTTTCTCGAAGGCTCTTTCCTCTATATACTAACTTTATTTGCCATTACTAAAAATTAAGAAATATTACCAACCTATTGCCACTTGGATACTGTACTACAATGTCATGATCTTCATCAATGCCACAAACAGTTCCAGTTGTAGTTAAAGTTTCAAACATGCCATCAGTCCATCCTCCATGACCGTGCTGCAAAGACTGTACAATTTCTAGGTCAAGATCTATATTTACCAGGTCACCAATCTGCAATCCACCAGGATTCCTATTGCCATTTTGTTCACCTGTAATTACAGAGGGAGTTGACAAAGGAAAAGGAAAACCACAACAGCATCAGGCAACTGCATTATTTTTAAATAAAAACAAGCTCTAGATATTTTAATCTTAACCTAATCTTAAAATGTTTTGAGAATATACTGTAAGTACCAGATTCTGGAGCTAGAGAACATCAAAAATAAGAAAGAAAACAATCACAAGACTCACAAATTGAAATAATGTGATGATTTATAACAACTGAACAAGAGCAGTATCTATTAGACTATGCAACCCTTTATCAAAGTACAAAGTTCTGGGTTTTGAAAATATTCATTTTTCTGCCTGGATGACTTGTTGACTAACCCTGCAATAACTACACTACAATTACACAGTTATTGAGGTTCAATAACTAACTACAGCCACAATAACTAGCTAGAGAATATGAAAGAGAACCTTGAAATTATTTTCTTCTCTGAACTACTTAGTACTATTTTTTACCAAATGGCCCTTGTGATTTTTTTCCTAAGGAACATTTTTAAATATTTAAAAGCCCATTCCCTAGATTATTTTCAAAGCTAGTTCTGGGACAAAGGATTCATGATCATAAAACACCATGATGATGGATCCAAAATATGTATGTTGATTCTAAACTTTTCCTATGAAGGCAAGACATAAAACAAGAAAGTTTCTGAGAGCAAGAAAAAGGGATGATCTTGTCAAAAATATAAGTATTTCTTCTACATTCTCCTTTAAAAAAAAAAAAATAAGGGTATGCTGTAAGAAAACAGCACTCTTTGGCCAAAAGGGAAATAAAATTATTTAAAAAGAGGAACACAGAGTTCATATGAAAAGGCAAGCATTCACAGACTAAAGCCTTAATTAGAAGAATGTGGTAAATATTTACTGTGGCAGCAATAAAGAATCTATAATATGAAGATAATTTTGTTTTCTTATTCTTTTTTATTTTAATGACAAATGAAAAATTATATTTATTATATAACCTTAATGTTCTATTTTTGTATTTAGAAGGCAATTTTACAAAAATTCTAAGGAATTTATAAGCATTAAATTGTCAGAATCTGGGGCGCCTGGGTGGCTCAGTTGGTTAAGCGACTGCCTTCGGCTCAGGTCATGATCCTAGAGTCCCGGGATCGAGTTCCGCATCGGGCTCCCTGCTCGGCGGGGAACCTGCTTCTCCCTCTGACCCTCCCCTATCTCGTGCTCTCTCTCTCTGTCTCATTCTCTCTCTCAAATAAATAAATAAAATCTTAAAAATAAATAAATAAATAAATAAATAAATAAATAGTCAGAATCTATCATCAACATGTAAGAGATACTGAAAGTCTAACAAAATTTTTCAACATGTTTATAACTAAAAGACAAAGGTTTCAAATATATTATGACATATAAGTGGTGTATCAATTCTCAAGACATGACAACTTTTTGAGAGTCTAAATAAATAAAAAAGAACACATACTTTAAAAACCAAAATAAGGGGTGCCTGGGTGGCTCACTCATTAAGCATCTGCCTTCGGCATGATCCCAGGGTCCTGGGATTGAGCCCCGCATTGGGCTCCCTGCTCAGCTGGAAGCCTGCTTCTCCCTCTCCCACTCCCCCTGCTTGTGTTCCCTCTCTCACTGTCTCTCTCTCTGTCAAATAAATTTTTTTTAAAAATCTAAAAATAAATAAGTAAAAATAAAATAAAATGGATGACCAGTGAGAAAATAATTTTCAAAAAAATAATAATAAAATAAAACCCCAAAAGTATCTCCTTAAATAACTTTTTCAAAACCCAATTTAAACATTTTCTGATTCCATGAACTCTGACACACTATTTAGTAATTTTCACTAGTCTGCTGACTCACCTAGCACAGGGCAGTGATCTCTGTAGAAAGAACCTCCTTTGGCATCCTGGACACACTTGAGATCAGACTAAGAAGAAAAGAAACCAGAAAAATCACGCTTGAAAACTTCAAGTATAGCTCAGTACCTAAAATAGGCAAAAATGTTCATTCAGAACATACCCTCAGCAAAAGAATAGCTCTAGGTTAACAGTCACACTAAACACTGCTTTCAAAAGCACCCATCAAAAATTAAAAGACTGATCTTCAGATAGGTCATACTCATTTACTTTTAGCTTTCCTTGAAAGTTCAAAATTAAAATGCCTCGATCTTTACCATTAAAATATTTTCAAAAACACATGACCACAACAAATACCTAGTATTTAAAATGTACATAACATATTCCATTTTAAAGATACTTTTACAAAAAAAAAAAAAAAGAGCACAACTCATTTGTTCTTTTCAATCAATTTTATGACATACACAAGGCAGGTATTAACTAAGTTAATAAAGAAAATTATCCAAAACCAAACAGCCAGAAAATAGAAAAGGATGGGACCTAATCCAGTCTTCTGGTTCCTTAGCCAGTTAATTTTCCTATTTATGTAAACTTTAGTCCTTACTTCATAACTTGGTTAACTCAAGTTCCTTTCCATTTAGTTTTTATAAGAAAACAAATTAAGTATCTGAATGGGGAGGCAGTTGTGATATAATCAAAAGTATAGAAAATGTGAACTTAGAAGAGCAAACTTGGGAGTTACTATAAAAATTCAGATTTACTTAAAAGTGCCTAATAGTATATAGGGGATCGGTATATACTTACTGTATTAAGGAAAGGCACTCCTTTACAGACAGACACACACACACATACACACACACAATTCAACTCTCTTTTTTATAGCCTCCTTTGCCACTACAGCATCACATTTAGCTCAGTCCTAGCCAAAGAGACACAGGGGTCAAATTGTTTTAATGTGATACTTTAACCCAGCAATTCCACTTCTAGGAATCTATCCTAAAAAAATACACCCATAAACATGCAAAGATACATGTACAAGGATGCTTACTGAAGCAATGCTTGCAACAATTTAAAAAAACAAACAAACCCAGATACCATCAACAGAAACCTTATTAAATAATGGCATAACCATAGAGAGGAGTACTACTCAGCCATCAAAAATGATCAATCTATATATGTATACCACTCATTAAATACCTCTGCACATATACCTAAGGCTTCATCTGAAGCAAGTTAATAATCAGAATCCCCAAAAAATCCACAATTTAAAAACAGGAGGAGGCATAAAAATACTAATGAAAAACTGATAACTAATGCTATATACTAGTATTAAAATTGGCAAATCAAGTATTTGTTTAGATTCACATTGTTGGCTTTTTAATTTATCCCATATAAACTTATTCCATATAAATGGAATAAATTAAAAGCAAGGGGACAGTGGGATATTTTCTCCCCTCCTACCAAGGGGCATAAAACAGTTGGGATAAAACAAAATTTAAAGAATTCTTTCAAGGAGGAATATATTCAAGATGGAAAAGATGTAAAAGGCATTAATATTTTGGCATTAATATTTAGTTGTACTCCATAAATTAAATAGCTGAGGTCAACATTTGAACAGTGATCCATGAAATGCAGAAATATAGGGCAATCCAAAAAAAAAAAAAAAAAGAAATATAGGGCAATCCATTGAATAAACCACCATTATTTTCCTAAGCACGTAATTTAAGTGTTTTTAGGTCAATCCTTTTTTTTCCACCGATTTTACTTATTTTTTTAAATTAACATATAATGTATTATTTGTTTCAGGGGTACAGGTCTGTGATTCATCAGTCTTACACAACACCCAGTGCTCACCACAACACATACCCTCCCCAA